AACAAACACAGTATTAATGTTTGTTTAAATGTGTGATGTTACAGTACCAGTGTATGTGAACTTTGAATGAGTTCTGAGGTTTGAAAATGAAATCTGTTTAAGAAAATATACTAAATGCTTTTAAGTATAAAGCTGAGATGAGCTGAGAGGCTGTTTGGTTGATGATGTGATTTTGTGGCTGAAGCATCACAGCAGGCTGCCTGGTTTAACAGAGACTTTACACTCACCGGCCACTTTATTAGGTTTGTTGTCGTCGTCGTCTCCCGCTTTATCCGGAACCGGGTCGCGGGGGCAGCAGACTAAGCAGAGACTCCCAGACTTCCCTCTCCGCAGACACCTCCTCCAGCTCTGCTGGGGGAAGCCCTAGGCACTCCCAGGCCAGCCAAGAGACGTAGTCTCTCCTGCCTGTCCTGGGTCGTCCCCTGGACCTCCTCCCAGTGGGACGTGCCTGGAACACCTCCCGAGGGAGGCGTCCAGGGGGCATCCGAAGAAGATGTCCGAGCCACCTCAACTGACTCCTCTTGATGTGGAGGAGAACCGGCTCTACACTGAGCCCGAATGACCGAGCTCCTCACCCTATCTCTAAGGGAGAGCCCAGCCACCCTGCGGAGGAAGCTAATTTCAGCCGCTTGTATCCGGGATCTCGTTCTTTCGGTCATGATCCAGATTTCATGACCATAGGAACGTAGACCGAACGGTAAATTGGGAGCTTTGCCTTTTCGCTCAGCTCTCTCTTCACCACGATAGACCGGTGCAGCGTCCGCATTATTGCAGCAGCCGCACTGATCCGTCTATCGATCTCCCGCTCCATTCTTCCCTAACTCGTGAACAGGACCCGAGGATACTGGAACTCCTCCACTTGAGGCAGGGACTCTCCTCCAACCTGAAGGGGACAAGCCACCTTTTTCCGGTCGAGAACCATGGCCTCGGACTTGGAGGAGCTGATTCTCATCCCGGCCGCTTCACACTCGGCTGCGAACCGCCCCAGCGAACGCTGTAGGTCTTGGCAGGAGGGAGCCAGCAGAACTACGTCATCCGCAAAAAGCAGGGAGGAGATCCGCTGGTCCCCAAACCAGACCCCCTCCGGTCCTTGGCTGCGCCTAGAAATCCTGTCCATAAAAGTTATGAACAGGACCGGTGACAGAGGACAGCCCTGTCGGAGTCCAACATGCACTTTATTAGGTACCCCATGCTAGTAACGGGTTGGACCCCCTTTTGCCTTCAGAACTGCCTCAATTCTTCGTGGCATAGATTCAACAAGGTGCTGGAAGAATTCCTCAGGGAGTTTGGTCCATATTGACATGATGGCATCACACAGTTGCCGCAGATTTGTCGGCTGCATATCCATGATGCGAATCTCCCGTTCCACCATATCCCAAAGATGCTCTTTTGGATTGAGATCTGGTGACTGTGGAGGCCATTTGAGTACAGTGAACTCATTGTCATGTTCAAGAAACCAGTCTGAGATTATTCCAGCTTTATGACATGGCGCATTATCCTGCTGAAAGTAGCCATCAGAAGTTGGGTACATTGTGGTCATAAAGGGATGTACATGGTCAGCAACAATATTAAGGTGGGCTGTGGCTTTGCAACAATGCTCAATTGGTACCAAGGGGCCCAAAGAGTGCCAAGAAAATATTCCCCACACCATGACACCACCACCACCAGCCTGAACCGTTGATACAAGGCAGGATGGATCCATGCTTTCAAGTTGTAGACACCCATTTCTGACCCCACCATCCGAATGTCGCAGCAGAAATCGAGACTCATCAGACCAGGCAACGTTTTTCCAATCTTCTATTGTCCAATTTCGATGAGCTTGTGCAAATTGTAGCCTCAGTTTCCTGTTCTTAGCTGAAAGGAGTGGCACCCGGTGTGGTCTTCTGCTGCTGTAGCCCATCTGCCTCAAAGTTCGACGTACTGTGCATTCAGAGATGCTCTTCTGCCCACCTTGGTTGTAACGGGTGGTTATTTGAGTCACTGTTGCCCTTCTATCAGCTCGAACCAGTCTGGCCATTCTCCTCTGACCTCTGGCATCAACAAGTCATTTCTGCCCACAGAACTGCCGCTCACTGGATGTTTTTTTCTTTTTCCGACCATTCTCTGTAAACCCTAGCCCTCTATGGCATGAATTTTTATTTTATGAGGAAAAAAATATTTCACCCTAGTTTTGGGAGCTTGAGGGGGTCTTTATAAAATATCAATCAGAAAATGTGCTCCACCCTGCCCCCCCCCCACCAGATTTTGGTTTGTTGTCTCAGGGCAACAATATGCTATAAGGGTACTAAAATGCCAAGGTTTTCTTTAAGTGGAATGATGAACAAACAAACAATAAATACATTAGAAGAAGTTTTATTTCAAGTTTTATTTCAATTTCAACAAGTTTCCTTTCAACAAACGGCCACAAATGGTTTATTAATTAGTGCATTAGAGATTAGCTGCAGTGTGTTTATGTTTCTAAATACATGTTCCTGTGGGGTACTGAATGGCTCTGTGTTTCTCTTTTTTACAAAGTACAGTTTGTATTATTCTGTATGGAACCTCATGAAGCAGTTGCTCGTGGATGTGAAACAAAGGTGGGCGTCACATTTTTGGCACTTGGCTTTAGGTGTACCTGTGCATCTTGGTACCTTGCATCTCCCTTTCTTTTCATCCATGACCATCCAGTGGGCTGTGGCATCCAGACGCACATCAGGGACTGGGATAGGTGTAGTGGGTCCTCTTCTCCTCTTCTCCTCGTACTCCCCAGCAATTGTGGAACCGGGACGACCTGTCTTGCGCTCCAGATTCTTGCCACTTTTGCACAAGCTTTCTGCAATATACGACTTGAATGTATAAAGCCTCATCTGTTCCTCTTTTCTCATCCCAGTGCTGCTGCAGTCTCTCTTGTAGAGCAGCCAGGCAGTCACGATGGTCATGTCGATAAAGTGGAACATCAGCCGATGGTACCACTTTTTCGACCTGATTTTGCTGCGGTACAGTGCAATGAGGGAGTTGAGCAGATCCACTCCACCCATATTTTTATTGTACTCTCTCACCACAGCAGGACAGGGAGCTTTGATGATTTTTTTCTGCTTGGCATCCCACCTATCAACGTCGGTGACTGGGTGTGCTCCAATGTAATTGCTGAGAAGACTGACTGAACGGTTATCATACCATTTCAAGACATGCAAGGTGGTTTCGCCAACCGTGGCCATCTTCTGTTCAAAAGATCCACGCCCAGTTCTCTTCAACTCAGTATCACACATCAAGTTGACAAAAATCTTTGTGCATCCATTTCCTGTGATTAATAGTAGATATTACAGAAAAAAATGTATTATGTTGATAACTACACATCCCTACACATCTCCATCCATGAGCATGTTATAGTTCATACAAAAGTGGTCTAACTGCACAATGTTGCCCTGAGGCAACGAATGAAAAACTGCCATTTTAGTATATAAATGAAGACAAAAGGTATCTTTACTCAATCAAATATGCTTTTTTACTTATTCATGCACATCACAGATATTATTTATACAAAATTATTTAAATTTAAACATGTAAAAAAGTGAAATTTATCTGACCTTCTGCTAGGGGTGTGTCCAAGTCTGCTGCGGTCCAAAAAAGGATTGTTTCACTCCAAGACAAAGGTCAAGACCACGCCTAGCTCGAATTTCATTGGTCACAGACATATCATCAGACTTTTAATGTGATGTTTTACTTAAAAAAATTTAAAGGGGCGGTGTGTGGGCCAAAATAGTGGTTTGTTGCCTGAGGGCAACAGAATGCCATAGAGGGCTAGAGATGGTTGTGCGTGAAAATCCCAGTAGATCAGCTGTTTCTGAAATACTCAGACCAGCCCTTCTGGCACCAACAATCATGCCACGTTCAAAGTCACTCAAATCACCTTTCTTCCCCATACTGATGCTCGGTTTGAACTGCAGGAGATTGTCTTGACCATGTCTACATGCCTAAATGCACTGAGTTGCCGCCATGTGATTGGCTGCTTAGAAATTAAGTGTTAAAGAGCAGTTAGACGGTGTTCCTAATAAAGTGGCAGGTGAGTGTATGTGAAAATATTCTAGTTTATCATTTTTTTTTATCATATACTGAAAATGTTTAAGGTCTTACTGCGTTTAAAGTGAGTTAAAAAAAAAATTAAGATGCCTTGTATTTTTTATTTATTTTTTTTTCTGTCTTTTTTTATGGTGGCCGAAGATTTTAATATATGAGTAGTTCTAATTGGTTTCTGTCCACAAATGTGACATATGTGTTATAATGTAGCTGTAGCTTTCAAATAAATTGTGTTGCTGTGTCTATTAATGTCTGTTAATGTCACCCATCAATGTGTTAACTGCGTATATTTCTCTGTTCATTGTGGGTTAAAACCTCCAGAGCTCTGCTGCTGCTGTTCACCACAGCATCAATCACTTCCTCTTCAATCACTTCCTCTTCAGTTCATAGAAAAACACTTCAGAGGTTAAACTGGAAACCAGCAGGTTTTAAAAGTAAAATCCAATCTTACCAGTGTGACTGATCTATGAAATTAGACATTTGATCTGCTGCTCTTTATCGACACAGATCAGACCTCCTGGATTTATCTGATTGATTCTCCAGGTTTCTAAAACATCTAAACAAAAGAAGAAGTGCATTTCTCACATCTATCTAAAGTAAAAATATTCACACACTGATCTTCTTCCTCTATTATGGACTTCTTGCATGTCACTGTCTATAATGTCCTCTAATGAGCCTGAAATATAAGCTGTAACAATGTTTAAGTTTATATTTTTTACAGCAGCTTTTCAATTAGATATGAATATTTTTATTAAAAGTATATAATTAAAAGTTGATGATTTAGTCTTTCATCCTCAATTAAAACAAATAGATGTTTTTACCACATAAAGCAGCGAGATGCCCATCAGTCAGAGTGAGGAAGTGGTGAGTCTCAGGAAGTAGAAGCTACATGTGTGTTCAGGAGGCAGTCAGACAGTTGTGAGGGTGAGAGCAACAGACGCACGATGGCTCAACTCAGATGGATTCAAGGGTTTTTATTAATCATCCTGCAGCTCAAAGGTAGGAAGACTGAAAATCTTTGTATAGAGCTATAAATGATAGATCTGCTTTATTCACTGTGTCTGTGTTCAGATTGAATATTTCTGGTTCTGTTTTATCTTTTAACAGTCGCTGTAGATCTAACATCTGTTTTAAAGAGAGCTAGAGATGAAGTCACATTGAAATGTTCAACAGTGATCGATGGTCAACAGAAGTGTAGCAGCACTACATGGATCTTCACTGGTTCAGGATACAGAGCATCAGTAGAGCTGGTTGACTTCGGTCAGATTAATAATGACATCACTAAAGCAGACAGACTGAGTCTAACAGCAGACTGTTCTCTGGTTATAAAGAAGGTCAGAGAGGAAGATGCTGGACGTTATTACTGTCAACAATGGGAATATAGAGGAGCAGACAGACCAGTTCATCAGTCTGCTGTAGATCTGTCTGTTCTTAACAGTGAGTTTTAATATTTCTTAAATTATTGTTTTTGTACTTAAAAGTCAAATCATTTTATGCAACAATATGTGGAATTGATTAGTGATGGAGGTCATTTATCTGATTTAGTGTTTATTGTTTCTCTCTTCATCAGTAATTAAACAGGAAAATCAGAGGGTGACATTAAGCTGCTCTGTGGTGACCTTTGACCCCTGTAGATACAGAGTGAAGTGGTTTAACCAGGATGTGGACAACAAAGAACCACCATCAGAGACTGGCTGCTCTGCTAATGTCTCTTTATCATCAGGTTCTGAGTTCCCTCAGTGTAAAGTGACTGATACTGTTACTGATGAAGAGTTTACCTTCAGTCTTCAGTCCTCAGGTGAGAAACAGGTTAGAAGATGATGAACTGAAGAAGATCACTGACATCACAGGAAACTAGGATTAGATTCAAGATTTGAACACAACTGGACTATTTTCTCATTTTAGTAATAATCGGATTTTTATTAATGACCAAAATCAACGGATATAGTTATTTAATCAGTCTAATACTTTGAAAGAGTTTTAAAGACTAACATATGAACAGTTTTGGTTTCTGACACTTTGTTCTTGTTTCCAGAAATATCAGGAGGGAAAGTTCATCCAACAAACAAACCTGGAAACAAAAGCTCAAAGACAACCAGACCAGAAACCAAAAATATCTCACCAACCTTTCAAGGTAGTGATTGTTCTAATGTTTTAGATATATTTCAAAATCATGATCATATGATGTATATTATAATCTGCACATTTTGGCCTTTTATTTCTAAAATGAGTGAATAAAGACATTAAATAATTAAAAAACATCTGATAAAACTTTACTTATAAGTTAAACCTTTACATTTAAAAGACACTATGCTGAAATTCAGTACAAAATATTTAGCAACTTTGTTTCTTATTTTTCCTGGAAACTGAACAAATGAAGCCACTCCAGGAAACAAGGACCCAAAGCAAACAGTTGGGAGCAGGAGAACTTCTGACACAACAAATCAAGGTTTGGCCCAATTATACTCAGTTATGAATATATGAGTGGTTTGTCTTGAGCTCCTGTTATCATGTTGTTATTTCAGTCATCTTTATACATACTGTGGTGATCATGACATGGAGAGTTAGGATTGAGTGTGCTGACTGATAAAACCAGAAATAAATCTTTCTAAATTATAATTTTTCTGAGATAAATCAGACTCGCAGTTTTAAAAGACATCATCAATGTAATTTAAGTCATTTCATCCTCCATAGACTGGGACATTTTAGAGCTTTGATGAATTTATTGCCATTGTCGAGGTTATTTTGTTGGATATACCTTAGAATAAGTGAATGTTGTCAACCTCACCTGCAATAGTTTCATAACTATAACAGCCTTTAAATCATCTATGCCAGGGCTACTTTCCTTCTTTTCATGCTATGTGGATGTATCTAATGGAAAGTAAAATAGTGTCTGTACCTCCACTCTGAAATCACCATCTTTCCCCCTGAAGCAGCCATTGCTGCAGCTCACCTCTGCTAGTTTCTCTAAGCAGGGCTGCTGTGTGAGTGTGAGGTTTATAGGGAAACTAGCTGAACAGTGACTGAGTGAAGTTTTCCTGGTCAGAGAAAGAATCAGAATGAAACAGCAGCAAGAATTCAGGGTGAATTCAGGAAATCATGGAGTCATTTCTCTTTGTTTTAAAATAAACAATAAATCTAGTTTATACTCCACACACAATCATGTTTCTCTATCCCTGTGGAGAATTTTCTTTGACTTCCATCATTTCTAACCCATTTCTACAGCCGAACTGTGACCCTAAACCTAAGCATTACGTGTTTATGCCTAATCCTAATCTCATCCTAAACTCAATTCATACCTTAGTCTATTTAACTCACCTTAAAACAGCATCTGTGTCCATGGTGACCAGGCATTGGTCACTACTAGAACAGTCGGTCCACAGAATGTGCCATTATTTATAGAAAACGGTCCCCACACTGTAAAAAATGCATGCCCCCCAACACACTCACACACAAATGTTGATTTTATATCCTCTCTCATACATTTTTGAGTTTCTTAAATAATTTTTACCATTAGTTCTAGCTTAATTCTATGCTGACAAACAGTTTAAAAAAATGAAAATCATCTGACCGCTAATAAAGTAAAATATCATTTTAACCTTAAATTACAAAACATTATTTCTTGTTTCTCTTTCAGGTTTATGGCATATCATCATCGTCTCTGTGGGTTTAGCAGCTCTTTCTATAACGGTTGTGAGCGTCAACGTTTGGACCAGAACTAAAGGTAAGATAGAAAGAAATAAAACAGTTTTATAATCTGTTGAATCAGAATCCTCACTTCATTTTTAATTAATTATATCAATCGGTATAAATCGTAGAATATACTTTGATTTGCAAAAAAATATGGTTCACAGTGTTTATTGTCTTCTAACACCTGTCGTTGATGAAGTTAGAGATTTTAATGTCTATATTTATATTTTTGAACTCGTCTGTTTCCATCTTTTCTTACTGTTGGAAACTCTTAAAACAGAGCTTATATTTCTTTATTCTGACATTAAAGATTCACAATGAAAACAGAAATGATTATGTCGTTATTAGAGAAATTTTGACCTTAGTTAGTGGTAACCGTAGAAGAGATAAGGTGAAAAGTTGCTCATAACAACAACCTGACTGAGTTTATCAATAAGCGTCTCAGTGAGAGAAACACTTTGCAGGAGCAGCTCTATAGGCTGTCACTTCCACCTCTCAGGTGCTTCTAGATCTTTACCAACTGAACCCAAAGCTGCAGGAAGGAAAAGACAAACATGCAACAAGATCAGAGGCTGATTTCATGAAACCAGGATAAGGGATTAAGTCAGGATTTTCAGGAAAGCAGTAACACATCTGTTGCCATGGTGATTTATTCTGAGCAGCCAGCCTGCTATAGACAAGACTGAGAGTCAGACTCATCCTGATCTTTTATCTGCTCAGTCAGCGTCACATTGATCAGAAACCAATGAGCTTTGTTAGTGATTCTGTTACCTTATGAATGAATGAATAACTTTATTTCACACAATTCAGTAAAAACAACACATTTAACACATAGAAACATCAATGGCACGTATAATTGTGTTATATGTATACTTTAGTGTTTATTTAGGAACAGGGTTATGAAGAATTGAAGCTTATCTAATCATACCTCTTCATATCGTTGTGCATGTTGTGCTATTTTTCATCTGCCTACATTAAAAGTCTCTAATATATATTCTTATATATTAACTTATGTCATTATTCTAACTATAATTTTAGCGTATATAATTTATGTAAATCCCTTTAATGTCCCACAATAAGGAAATTCACTCTGGGCATGTTTGCTGCCATTGTGTGGCACCTGGGGAGCAAGTGGGGGTTAAGGGTTTTGCTCTGGAACTCAGATGGGAGGCTGTGAGGATCGACTGGATACTTGCAACCTTCTCAGATTACAAGCGCACTGCTCTAACCCATTAGGCTAACACTCCCCCCATTATTATTAACTCTATAATTTTCTATCTGGTCATCATTACTGACGTCATACACTCGCCGCTTTGTTTTAGAAAAATACAAAAATAAAAAATATACCCGCGGATGTCTGGGGGACAGTGATTCGCCTACATGTTATGAATGCTGACGTACCATAAATGATAAATTATGAACAGTTCAGCTTGTGCCTTCAAGTATACTGCTCATAGGAAGACATTACTTGGATATAACCTAACGGAATATCTTCAGAACAGCTCCCGATGACACAAAACTTATATGAGTGAGTAGAACATGATGTAATAACGTAAAATCAAGGGGCCAATGTAAAAAAAAGGCGTTCCCCTTTTCCAGTTCTTCTTTTGACATTTATATAAAATTAATAATTAAATTGTAATGTTTAGTTCATAGAAGCGGTTAGAATGTGTATTTTAGGCTGTTTGAGCATTTAGTTAATCTGCTATTGTGGTTGAATCAATGAATCTGTGCTCAACCTCATGGTCTCTGGAAGAAAACAGCAGGCCTGTTTCACTAAACCCAGAGTCTGGTGCCTGAACCTGGCTTTATCTCTTATTCTTGGAATGTATAAAATTATTCTTATTTTTTTTTTTTTCTTTTGTGCCTCTGGGCCACCAGGACATCACATGTCTAAGGCTCTGGATTACTGTTAAGAAATTACTTAGTCTGAGGTGTTGAAGAGCGATTCAGCGATTCCATTAACTGCTGCTGAAAGAGTTTTTATTTCATCTGTTTCTAAAAGGAGTATCATTTGTTTTTCTGTTTTTATTTTTTCTGAAGAGCATAAAGAAGATGAGGATGGAGAGAACTATGAAAACGCCTGAGGACTCTTTAGTTTGTCTTAAACTTCTCTCTACATCAAGGGGAGGTTGAGAAACATCATAAGGGGAAGTTTTCTTTTTTCTTGTTTTGCATGCTTAGCAGATTTTAATATTTGTTCAGTTCATTAAAATGTAGCAGGGGTCTTCCAGTCCTCCAGGTCTGGTGTCCTGAACCTTTTAGATGTGTCTCTGCTTCCACACACCTGAGTCAAATGGCTGAATTACCTCCTCAGTTTGCAGCCAAGTTCTCCACAGTCCTGATGATGACCTGAATATTAGACTCAGGTGAGTAGAAGTAAGGTTTTCCCACCGCAGATAAATTTTTTCTAAATCAGATTTTTTGGAGTCAAGGCTTTTTAAAACAAGTGGAATGACTCAGATTTGGCCCATTTCAGGCCCCCATCTGATTTTATTCTAGTCACATTTGAGCCACATTCATATTTGGTCCTGAATCTGTCTTTTATCTGATCTTTTGTAAACTGACTTCAACAGGAACGATTGAGGGAGTTAAGATTTAACTTGGACATCACTTTCCACTGCATTCATCACAACTTTGATCTGCTGAGCAGGAAACGGTAGCAGTTGGTAAAACAGAAGGAGGGCTGGAATAGAACTGGACAGTGGAGAGACAGAGATACATTAGAGCTCGTTAATAAACAGGTA